CACTTTTGCCAAGGATAGTAATTTTCCTAGATTGTGCAAATAGTGTAACAAAAACTCGATACTCAAGATATAATGCCTACTAAAGATATTAAATTTCTATTGTTTAATATATAATTTCTTCTACCATAAGAATTCATGAAAAAAAGTTTGAATTGAAACATAAGATTTAAGAAAGAAGAATAAATATATTCTTCAACATTAATGAAGAATCATAGAATGTTTTTAAGAAGAAGTATTTTTCTCATATCTTTTATTTACTTCAAATAAAAGCCTCTAAATAGAAATTAACTATTTAGCAATGGTTGAACAAATGTAAACTAAATTCTTAAAGTAATTACAATTATAACATGTGTTGATTACTAGTTCTGGATGCCAAAAATCGGCGGTACCCTTCAATTACATATTGATGTCCGCATGATATCAGTTGTGCCAATACTACATATATATACTCATTTCTCTATAGAAGAGAGTTGTAAGTTGCAGACAATACCTATCGGCAAATGAAAGAAAGAGGATAAGCACCACCGTAATTGATTCAATTATTCGTTTTTCATTTTAAATTTTTAGGTTGTTACCATGACGTGTGGTTGATCAAATGTGAAGGAATACATATTTTTGTTGAAGTTTAATAACAAAAAGGGATTATACAGGTTTTGTGGGAAGTGAAAGATTGTAGGTGGGATTTACATATAGGAGGGTTGTACCTGATTTTTGTTCATTGTAAATGAGTGCATGAAAAGTCACGGCTAAAAAGACTTTTCTTAGTAATGTGAAACGTTGTAACATACACAACCTTTTAGAATAATTTTGTTCTTCTTTTTATTTAAATATTATAATTTTTTTAAAAATAAGCAGGATAATTACATTTTTAAAAAGGGTAAAAAAGTAATTTAACTTGTGACTTAAGGGCTTCCCACTTTTAGTATAGTATAGATAGATATAGATATAGATAGATAAATATTCATTAGACATAATTTTTGCATAACTTTTGCCCAAAAGAGAGAATGAAGCCGCCGTGGAGGTCCGAGTTCATCAAATTTTATCTTTTCTTCCTCCAACCTTAATAATTTTTATGTTTCTTTGAATGATTTATTGTTGGCTATCTTGGGGTTAATTTCATAAATGGTCATATAACTATGTCGTTTTTTCACTAAAGTCATATAACTTTGTTTCTCACACAAAAGTCATATAACTATGACTTTTTTTCACTAAAGTCATATAACTTTGTCTTGTCACACAAAAATCATATAACTGTGATTTTTTTTAATACCAAAATTATATAATTATGTTTTCTCACACAAAAATCATAAAACTTTTACTAACTCACACAAAAATCACAGTAATCGAAAAATATAATTTTTCACTAGTATTTTCTTATTTTGTAGATTTTTATTTCTTATTTTTAGCCTAATAAATAATAGAAATTTTTACCTCCTATAGCAAAGGTTAACACCTTATTTATTTTAAGTAAAAACCATTTAAAAAAATTATATTCTATAGATACCTTTTAATATTTATAGCAAAATATTTAAGTTTGGTTACCTCCTAACCCTAAGTCACTAAATACGCTATTCAGTTATTTTCTTTGTCTCTCTCTATTTTGATACGCTATTCAATAATGAACCGGACTCACACAAACTCTGCTTCACCGGCGTGGAATTAAGCAAATCATCATCACTTAGTAGGTCAAGAATGGCATCCTTGCCTCTTTTGGACTTGGCATTTCTTGAAGAAAAACGAGATTCTAAAAAAGACGACAACATCCTTATTTTCTGATCAGATTTAGAAGGACTTTTAGATCCATTATCACCTTCTGAATTTAGACCAACACTTTTTTCCTCCTCATCACACTCGGCAACACTTCAGATTAGAACTGCTGGTGTAGCTGACTTTAATGTTGATTCACTAGTTTCAGGCCCGTATCAACAACTTCTTTTTCTTGCTCATTAGATACATTCTCAATGGACTACCGGCTTCCGGCGAACGGCGGATTCACCAAAATTAGGGTTTGTTGTTGAACAAAGACGGTGGAATTTGGGGCCGAGCAACTTGATTTTCTGTTAATATATTTCAACGTATTTTCATGTATTTTATTGTATTCATTGTCTTTTTTTTCCATTGTAATTCAATGTATCTCGTTGTATTCCATGTATTTTATTGTATTCACTATCTTTTTTTTTCATTGTATTTCAATGTATCCCGTTGTATTCTATGTATTTCATTGTATTCATTCTCTCGCTATATGCCATGAATGTATTCATATATTTTTTTAATTAATATAATTTATGTATTCAGATGTATTATATAATTTCTCTGAAGATTGCTATATTTTGGGGGTATTTTTCGGTTGAGAATCTTTTTTATAACTGAAAATACAAAATTTGTGTGTTACAATTGAGTTTGTTGAGTTATATTAGGAGTCTTTTATGTTAATTGATTCACTTTCCGTTTTAAAAATAGTGTAATCCCCTTTTTCACACCGTGAATACAATAATATGTCCAGCTGTAATCTCATGTTTCACTCCATGAATACAGTCGAATACACTCGAATACAACAACTGATTAGCTGGACTTTCCTGATTCACGTCTATTTTTGCTACTGTATTCATGAATACAATAGCTTAAATACATCAAATACATCTTATAACCACATAAAAGGTATCTATAATCCGTAATATAGCAAATGATATCTATAGATGACTAATTACTACTAAAAGATAGTGCTTTATAAAAATTTCTCTAAATAATAATCCAATTAAAATAGGAATGACTCAATCCGACCTGGCCCATCCGACCCAATATTCATATATATAAATTAAAATAATACTAAAAGCAAATAGTAAATTCTTTAAAACATGATACTTCTATTGTTTATTTTTCTTTTTGAGATTTTTGTTCTTATTTATAGCATTTTATTTCAAGTGCTCTCTAATTATACCTTTGATTTCTTATTTTTTTTGGTCAGAATCTCATGTATTCTGAATTGAATTTTTTATGGGGAAAGAATTCACTTTTAATAAATAGGAATGACCAAACTTTTAATTTATATATATAAATATTGGATCTGGTGTTCCATGTCGGGTTGAGTCATTCCTATTTTAATTGGATTATTATTTATTAGGCTGAAGATAAGAAAATAAAAATTTACAAAATAAGAAAACACTAATGAAAAATTATATTTACCGATCACTATGATTTTTATGTGAGTTAGTAAAAGTTCTATGATTTTTGTATGAGAAAACATAATTATATGATTTTGGTTTAAATTCTTTTTTACAGTTATATGATTTTTATGTGAAAAGACAAAATTATATGACTTTAGTGAAAAAAATTCATAGTTATATGACTATTGTGTGAGAAAACAAAGTTATATGACTTTATTGGAAAAAAACGCCATAGTTATATGAGCCTCTCTAAAAACTAAAATTCACTTCTAGAGTTGTGGTTCTTTCATGACTACCGTTATTTGGAACTTGATTTTAGTTTTTTAATTTATTGTATTGGTTTATTTATTCAATTCCTCGCTCAATTATTTGGTTGTTTGATCACCAATTGAATACTATCTATGAATTTAGAATTGAACTCGAAAATGAGGATTCTAGATTGCACATAGGATTGAGTAGAGCAAGTTCTTGAACCTAAGCATCGGGGAACGGTTTCGTAGTTAGGATAGACATATGCTAATTGCCTTGCTTGATTATTACGAGAATTATGAATGCATTCTTGTTGATTCTAATTCCATAAATATATCAGCGCTAGATTAGCTTAAATAAGTGAATAAGAACCCGATAGATTCTTATGAGCCATATTAACCATATCAACCAATAAATATAATAAACTAATTAGTCAATTTAAGTGAAGAATATGATAGGATTGTTAGATAGCTCACAACCCTAGATGGTTTTCATCATATTGATAACATAAAAATCTGCTCTTCTTTTGTTTAGAGTTTATTAGTGTTTTTTTAGTTTAATTAGTTTAACATCACCACTTTTGAGTTTAACTAGTTGTTAGGCACGTACATTGCGCGTGTGTTTCATATAATTAGTACAAATTAAAAAAATTATATCGTTTTATACATAGATGATAAAGCGCTTTAAATCATGATTGTATTTATAAGAAAAAAATTGTACTTAGAAATCATAACAATCTGAATATTTAAGCCATGAAAAATAAGGAGAAGATAAAATATAAGAACTGTAAATGTTAGCTCCAAAAAATTATTATACGCATGGGAAGTTAAAGACCTTAACTTTATAAAGTGAAGAGAATTCAGACACATGTACCTTAATAAATTCTTTGACAATCTTACGGCAAATTTAACATTACAAAATAACTTTTTTAGTTTACTGAGTTCTACATCTGACTTCTAGTCACTTTATTACTTGATGACCACGTATACTTTCGTGTACGTTTTGCCGCAATAAATTTTTGGTGCCGTTACCTGGGAGGACTATTTATTATCTTAGTTAGTGTAATATGGAGTAATATACACTCATTACACTCTTGACTATAAAGAGAGATTGCTCCAAAATTTGTTGCAAGATTATATTATTATTTTGTCAATTTAGTAGAAGATGAAAAAAGATCAATATATATTAAAATAGAAAAAAGAAAACAAAAACTTATGGCCTTATGTATCGTTGAAAACGAAGAACAACGTGCCTTAATGAAAGAAAATGACAGAACATTATCGTCTACAATTTTTAATTACTTTTGTGGACTTCAATTTAGCTATTTATTGAAATTTAATATGAAATGAATGCATTAGGATTTTTTTTTTCATTTTTCTTATCACATAGAATGGACATTAGCGGTTGGAAACCAAGATGAAAAGAACAAAAAAGAAAAAGTAATTATTTGCTAGCTACAAGCAGGGCAAGTATCTTGGTTGCTTTCTAGTGAACGTATCGTACGAAACCAAATTTGTGGTTAAAGTTAGATTACGGTTTCCTTTTTGTCATGCAATGCAAATAATTGCGATCGAACGTCTCTTTTAGTTTGTGTGGTAAAGCTTTTCCGAATACGTGCCAACACACAAAATCAGCTTCAGCTATGACGTTTGTTTTCTATATACATTTGTCTCCAAATATATTATACCCAATTCTTACAATGTAATATGTCTAATTACAATGTAACATAACATAACTGTTGCTTAATATGTTTTTTGTGTTTCTTTTTTAATCCATTGGATATATTTGCTGCTGGTACGGATACAACATATACAGCTTTAGAGTGGATAATGACAGAGCTTTTAAGGCATCCAAGAGCCATGGAAGAATTACAGAATGAAGTGCGACAATTAGCCCAAGGAAAATCAGAGATAACAGAGGATGACTTAGGAAATATGCAGTATCTGAAAGCAGTGATTAAAGAAACTCTCAGACTTCATCCACCGGTTCCACCGCTACTCCCTCGAGAATCAATAGAAGACGTAGAATTGCTACGCTACCACATACCTGCTAAAACTCAAGTCATTGTCAATGCTTGGACAATCGGAAGAGATCCTTTGTCGTGGGAAAATCCGGAGGAGTACCGACCAAAGAGGTTCTTGAATAGTAATATTGATGTCAAAGGACTAAATTTTGAGTTGATTCCCTTTGGAGCAGGCAGAAGGGGCTGCCCAGGAATTGCTTTTGCTAATGTGGTAAATGAGCTAGCAATAGCAAGGCTTGTACACAAGTTCAATTTTGCATTACCAGAAGGGATAAAAGGGGAGGATTTGGATATGACTGAAGGCACTGGCATCACTATTCGTAGGAAGTCACCTTTGGTAGCAGTGGCCACTCCTTGCTCTAGTAAGGGTCTTTTTCCTCCATTTCCTACTATCACTAATTCTATATATCCACCAGTACTAGATAAGCCACGGAATACAGTTCCCATCATTGCTATGGCCAATAGTAATTTTACAATCTGTATTAAGCGTACTGGTTGGACTCCCTTTTGCACTGTTTATGCATACGCTTTATTTTCTTGTTTACACGATTTCTTGCTCTAACATGCTTCACAGATTACATTGATATATCGGAAAATACTAGCTATCCTACTAAACGATAGGGACCAAAGATGTTATTCGATATTTAACTTTCCAACTGAAGATATTCCACATTTAGTTACTAGTATATAACCGATTGCAAATGAAGAGGAAATAGAAAGCGTAGTTTTGGGTTGTCTGAGTTCAGTAAGGATCTTCTGTCCACTGTGTCAAGAACCACTCTGTTGTTTATTATCCCGCGACTTGTGATCACTTAATTCTTTCTTTTTTACTTCTTCTATTTTTTTTTTTTTTTTTTTTTTTTTTTTTGGCAAAAGTCAATCTTTTGGTGGCAGGGATTTGGCAGACTCCGACTATGTATCATTACAAAAAAGGAGGGACACTTAAACTTGAGAGTAGACATGCCTACTTTTTACAAAAGATCCTTCTTGTGCGGAGTATGAATTAGAGTGTGTCTACAATGATTTAAAACTAAATTAGGAGCTAGAACTCCTCCTTTATACAGGTATTTTTTTTATTTCTACGACATAAATTCAAATTAGTTCTTATCTTCACGATGTTTTCAAAAATTTGTTGTATTGTCTGCGCCTTAAACTTGGCATCTGAATTTTCTCCAATTTGTATGCTCCCTTAGCTTCTTCTGTTAGGTCATTGAACTGATAGCTGTATGCCCCAGTAGTCTTGGTTAGACTCCATTTAGCCATTGCTTCCGCCTCTTGATTTCCTTCTCTGTAGCAATGTCATACAATTGCCGTTGGTTTGACAAAGAATCTAACTTTCCTTAACCACAATATTGTCAGGTGCCAGGGAGGCCTATACTAACATTACCCTTCACAACATCAATAATCAACTGCGAGTCGCTTTCCAACAAGGTAATATTAGAGAGATCATTGTTGTAACGCCATTCCAGTCCTAACAAGGCTGCATTAGCTTCAGCTATATATATGTGTGTATTCCATTTCCTGAAGGTACTGCATGCAACCAACATTTCTCCTTAATTATCATATCGGACTATGCCTCTCTGATCCTGTAGCTCCATGACCTCCTTTGCTCCCATTTCACCTTTATCCAGTTTCCAGTCCATACTTTGTTTCAATTACATTACCATATTGTTATCAAAACTGTATTTCTATAAAATTAATAAAACAATAAACTTTCTGGAAAAATAAAAACAGAAAGTTAGTAGAACTAGAATGTCAAAATAAATTCTGGAAACAGTATAGTAATGTAACGACCCGGCGGGTCGCTTTAAGAATTAATGCTCCGATCCCCTATTAACTGCTTTTCCCACATTTGTTTCTGCTATTGAGAGTTGACAGGAGGATTTATTTGGAGCTTCGGTGAGTTTTGGGACACTTAGTCCCTAAATGAGAGTTTAAGTCTTAGAATTTGGACCGTAGTCGGAGCAGTGTGAAGACGGCCTCGGAATGGAATTCCATTGGTTCTGTTAGCTCCGTTGGGTGATTTCGAGCTTAGGGGCGTATTCGGATTGTGTTTTGGAGGTCCGTAGCTTATTTAGGCTTGAAATGCCGAAAGTTGAATTTTTTGAAGTTTTCGGTTCGATAGTGAGATTTTGATATCGGGGTCGGAATTGGATTCCGGAAGTTGGAGTATCTCTGTAGTGTTGAATGTGACGTGCTTGCAAAATTTCAGGTCATTCGGATGAGGTTTTATAGACTTTTTGATCGAAAACGTAATTTGAGAGTTTTTGGAGTTCTTAGGCTTGAATTCGATGTTAAATTGGTGTTTTAATGTTGTTTTGATCGTTCCGAAGGTCGAAAAAAGTTTGAATGATGTTTTAGGACTGGTTCATACGTTTGGTTGAGGTCCCGGGGGCCTCGGAGTATGTTTCGGATGCTTAACGGGTCATTTTTGGACTTAGAAAGACTGCAGATTTTCTGCTGTTGTGTTGCAGAGAAAACCTTGATCGCGTTCGCGAGAGGGTTCTCGTGTTCGTGTAGAGCATCTAGGTGAAGCAGCTGAATCGTGCTTCGTGTTTGCGATGACGTCACGCGTTCGCGAAGGTATGGACCCTTTGGTTTTCGCGTTCGCGACATGGTTCTCGCGTTTGCTTAAGGGCTGCCAGTGTAAGCTATGTGTTCGCGAGTAGACCCTCGCGTTCGCGAAAGAGGAAGACTGGACAATGGATTTTTGTGCATCGCGTTCGCGAAGAAGAACGCATCTGAGCAGAACATAAATTTAAAATCGAAGGTTTTGAGTTCATATCACAAAATTGAATTGGGAGCTCGGTAGGAGACGAATTTTGGAAAGATATTCGGAGGGATTTTGCGGGTAATGATTCTTAACTCCTTTTTTCTTACAACCCATTAATCTAAACATGAATTCATCATCTAATTTCGAATTTGGGGTGGGAAATTGGGAAAAAATTTGGAAAAGTTCTTAGGCCTAATTTTCGAGTTTTGATTGGGAATTTGACATTGCATTTGGATAATTTTGGTATTGTTAGACTCGTGAGTAAATTAGGGTTCATAATCCATAAATTTTACCCGATTATGAGACGTCAGCCCGGGGGCATTTTGGTCATTTTACCTGATTTCGCGTATTAACTTAGAATTTATTTGTGGAATCAGTTACTTGAAGTTATATTTACATTATGCAATTGAATTGAATAGATTTGATCCATTTGGAGTCGAGTACTCGTGGCAAGAACGTGGTTTCGGGTTGATTTTGAGCTTGTTCGAGGTAAGTGGCTTGCCTAACCTTGTATGGGGGAACTCCCCTAGGATTTGGTGTTGTTGATATTTGGAATGCCTTGTACGTGAGGTGACGAGTGCGTACTTGTGCTAATTGTTGAAAATCCTATTTTTATTAATTAACTATAATTGTGCTTTTTTTCATGTCTATACTACTTGCAATTTAAGCTTACTGTTAGCTTGGGGAAGCATGTCTAATTGACTTAATTGCTTTATTTGCTCAAACTGCCTTATTTGGATTCTGTGCAGCATGCTAGGTTAGAAATACTTGTTATACCTTGGTATGAAATTTGAATTGAATTGAGTGTTCTTCGTGTTGCTGCTGTGTGTTTACTTTGGGACTACGTGACGGTATCCCAGGAGATCCCCCTGCATGTTTACTTTGGAACTACGGATTTTGTATTCTGGGAGATCCCCCTGCACTTTTATATTGGAACTATAGGACTGCACCCGGTAGATTCCCCCAGTACTGGATATTTACATTTGGGACTACGGATCGGTATTTCGAGAGATCCCCGCGCATTATGAGTTGGACTATGGGACGACACCCGGGAGATCCACTGTATATTTATATTTGGGACTACAGGATGGTATCCTGGGAGATCACCGGTTGTTATCTCTGTGTTGAGTTGTATTCCTTTCTGTGATTATTTTGTCTTTGTTGTAGTTGTTGTTGTTCTTTCTATCATGTGTTACTTCTTACTGTTGCACTTAATTATACTGTCTTATTCTATACTGTTATACCTTGTTTTTCATTTAAACTTCGTAGGGCCCTGACCTTTCTCGTCACTACTCGACCGAGGTTAGGCTTGGCACTTACTGAGTACCGTTGTGGTGTACTCATGCCCTTTCTGCGCATGTTTTTCATGTGCAGATCCAGGTACTTCGACTCAGCCCTACTATCCTTGAGGCAAGGCGATTCTCCAGAGACTTCGAGGTATATCTGCCGCGTCCGCAGACCGAGGAGTCACTTTCCATTCTCTCTCATAGTATTAACCCTTCTGTATTTACTTTTGTTTAGACATTCTGGAGTTAGACACTTGTAGTTATTCAATAGCTTATGATTTCATGAGATTTCGGGTTTTGGGAAATATAGTTTCAGCTTGAGAGTTGTATTGTATATGGCGAGCGGCATCTTAAATGCTTCATTCTGATATTTTTTCTACAGTTTTGGCTAGTTTATTTCTATTGGATTTTCCCCCCAATTTGTTAGGCTTACCTAGTCGTAAAGACTAGGTGCCGTCACGACAGTTCATAAAGGGCGAATTCGGGTCGTGAAAAGTTGGTATCAGAGCTCTAGGTTCATAGGAGTCATAAATCACAAACCAGTTTATTAGAGTCTCGCGGATCGGTACGGAGACGTCTGTACTTATCTACGAGAGGCTATGTAACTGTTAGGAAAATTACACTTCATTTGATTTTCTTGTCATGCGAGATTTTGATATCACAATTCCAAACTTTTGTCTTCTATTCTCTCTCAGATGGTGAAGACACGTGCTACCAGAGATGACCAGGCACCCGCGCCCCCAACTGGAGCCGTCAGAGGCCGGGGCCAGGGTAGAGGCTGAGGACGCGCATGTGGTGCAGCCAGAGCACCCGCGCGAGCTGCCACCAAGGTGTCAGTAGCAGTTCCAGCTGTAGTCCAGGCACCTGATACGCCTACTGCTACTACTACTCCAGCTCTCCAAGAGACTTTTACACAGTTCATGAGCATGTACACCACTTTGGCTCAGGCAGGATTGCTTCCCCTTGCTGCAGCTACATCTCAGGCCGAGGGAGGAGCACAGACTCCCTCTGCCCGCACTCTTGAGCAGCGAGTGCATGTTTATCAAGTCCCAGAGATTATTCCTGTACAATTTGCTGTCCGAGATCAGCTTGAGGGATAGGGCAGCGGCTTCCAAGGATGAGTAGTTGAGGCTTGAGAGGTTCAAGAAGTACAAGCCTCCTATATTCAGTGGTCTAGCATCAGATGATGCTTTGGGATTTCTAGATGAGTGCCACCATATTCTTCGTACCATGGGTATATCAAGATCGAGCGGGGTTTCCTTCACTACTTTCCAGCTTCGAGGAGCCGCCTATGAGTGATGGTGTACCTATGAGTTAGACAGCCCGGATGAGAGAACTTCCCTGACTTGGACTCAGTTTTTAGATTTGTTCTTGAGAGAGTATGTTCCTCAGAGCCTTAGTGACGCATGGGGCATAGAGTTTGAGCATTTGCGCTAGGGTACTCAGACTATCTCGGAGTATTCTGTCCGCTACACGAGTTTGGCTAGACATGCACTAGCTTTGGTCTCTACTGTTCGCGAGAGGGTTCGCCGGTTTATTAAGGGGATTATTCCCAGCATCAGGTCTAGCATGGCTCGAGAGTTGGAGATGGATATTTCTTATGAGCAGGTGGTGAGCATTGCTAGGAAGATAGATGGTATGCATGCTAGGGACAAAGAGGAGAGGGAGGCCAAGAGGTCTAGAGAGTCAGGCCATTATTCTGGTGCCCGTGCTCCAGCTGCAGTTCGTCATGGTAGGGGTTATATGAGTCACCTCGTTCATTCAGCTCTTCCAGCAGCCAGTGGTATTAAAGCTCCTCCTAGGCCCCAGGAGCCTTATTATACACCTTCAATATCTAGTGCGCCTCCTGCGCGGGGTGCTTTCAGTGGTCAGTCCAGCAGACCTGGCCTGAGCTAGTCCCAGTTGCCGCATCCTCCTAGAGCTTGTTTTGAGTGTGGTGACACAAGTCATATGGTGAGGGATTTCCCCATACTTAGGAGGAGTGAAACTCCACAGACTTCTTAGCCACAGCGTGCCCGACAGAGTTCTCAGGCTATGGTTACAACCCCAGTTGCTACCCTACCTACTCAGCCAGCTAGAGGTGGAGGTCAGGGAGGTAGAGGTCGCCCTAGAGGGGGAGGCCAGGCCGGATATTATGCCCTTCCTGCCCGTACCGAGGCTGTTGCCTCTGATTCTGTCATCACAGGTATTGTCCTGGTTTGTCATAGAGATGCATCGGTTTTATTCGATCCAGGTTCCACCTATTCTTATGTGTCTTCTTATTTTGTCCCGCATTTGGGTGTATCTCGGGAATCTTTGAGTTTCCCCTGTTTATTTTTCTACTCATGTGGGAGATTCTCTTATTGTGGATCACGTTTATTGGTCGTGTGTGGTTACTCTTGGTGGTTTTGAAACCAGAGCCAATTTATTATTGCTCAGCATGGTAGATTTTGATTATCTTGGGAATGGATTGGTTGTCACCCCATTATGCTATTCTCGATTGTCATGCCAAAATTGTGACATTGGCTATACCAGGTGTACCATGAGTAGAGTGGAGGGGTACCTTAGAGCATACTTCCAGTAGAGTTATTTCATTCCTTAAGGCTTAGCGTATGGCTGGGAAGGGATGTGATACGTATCTAGCTTATGTGAGAGATGTTAGTATTGATACCCCTACAGTTGATTCAGTCCCAGTAGTACGGGATTTTTCTGATGTGTTTCCAGCTGACCTTCCGAGCATGCGGCCCGATAGAGATATTAATTTTGGTATTAATCTGTTGCCGGGCACTCATCCCATTTCTATTCTTTCGTATCACATGGCCCCTCCTGATTTGAAAGAATTAAAGGATCAGTTATATGAATTGCTTGATAAGGGTTTTATTCGGCCCAGTATATCATCTTGGGGTGCTCTTGTCTTGTTTGTGAAGAAAAAGGATGGTTCTATGCGTTTGTGCATTGACTATCGCCAGTTGAACAAGGTTACAGTGAAGAACTACTATCCTTTGCCTCGTATTGATGATTTGTTTGACCAGCTACAAGGTGCACGAGTGTTTTCTAAGATTCACTTGCATTTAGGTTACCATCAGTTGAAGATTCGGGAGCCAGATATCCCGAGGACTGCTTTCAGGACTCCATATGGTCATTACGAGTTCCTTGTTATGTCATTTGGGCTGACCAATGCCCCAACAGCCTTTATGCATTTGATGCACAGTGTGTTCCGGCCATATCTTGACTCGTTCGTCATTGTCTTTATTGATGATATTCTAGTGTACTCCCGGAGTCGGGAATATTATGAGCAGCACTTGAGGACAGTGCTTCAGACTTTGAGGGAAAAGAAGTTATATGCAAAGTTCTCGAAATGTGAGTTTTGGTTGGATTCCTTGGCATTCTTAGGACATGTGGTATCGAGTCAGGGTATTCAGGTGGATCCGAAGAAAATGGAAGCAGTGCAGAGTTGGCCCAGGCCATCTCAACTACAGAGATCCGTAGTTTTCTTGGCTTGGCGGGTTATTACCACCGATTTGTTGAGGGGAATTCACCTTCTGGGTGGGTGAGGAGAAAATGGTCTTTCATGTGTGCAAATTAATGAAGCAGCCCAACACTATCGAGGTGTGCTCTTTTGTGGACCTCGTTACAGTAGTGATAATTGATTACACCAGTGCAATGATTAATGTGGAGGACCCAGTGGAGGCTGTATTATTGAATCTTGATGTCAATGAGGATACAAGCCGAGTGGAGTGCGAGAATTCTTTACATGAAATGGGCTCTTACTCTTATGAGCCTAGGAAATTATCTTTGGACCTCGAGAATAGAAAGACTTCACCAACAAAACCTTCAATTAAGGAGCCTCCGGTGTTGGAGTTGAAACCACTGCCTCCACACCTCAGGTATGAGTTCTTGGGCTCAAATTCTACTTTGTCAGTTATTCTTTCCTCTTGTCTTATTAACATGCAAGTTGATGCCATATTGGCGGTACTTCCAAAGTGGAAAAAGGCAATTGGATGGACTTTAGCTGATATTCGGGGGATAAGCCCTGCATTCTGTATGCACAAGATTATTCTGGAAGATGATGCAAAGCCTTCCTTGGAGCATCAAAGGAGGTTGAACGAGTCAATGCAAGAAGTTGTAAAAAAGGAGGTGATAAAGTGGTTGGATGCCGGGGTTGTGTACCCCATCTCTGATAGCTCTTGGACTTCACCGGTGCAATGTGTACCAAAGAAGGGTGGCATGACCGTGGTTACAAATTCACAAAATGAGTTGATTCCTACAAGAACCGTCACTGGTTGGAGGGTATGCATGGACTACCGCAAGTTGAATAAAGTGACTCGCAAGGATCACTTTCCTTTGCCTTTTCTTGATCAGATGTTAGATCGACTTGCTGGGCGTGCCTTCTACTGTTTTTTGGATGGGTATTCTGGGTACAACCAAATCTTGATTGCTCCGGAAGATCAGGAGAAGACCATATTCACTTGTCCATATGGTACCTTTGCTTTTTCTAGGATGCCTTTGGGGTTGTATAATGCACCAGCTACATTTCAGCGGTGTGTGATGGCCATTTTCACCGATATGGTGGAAGACATTTTGGAGGTATTCATGGACGACTTTAGTGTTGTGGGGGATTCATTTGATGAGTGCTTGAAAGATCTTGATAGGGTCTTGTCCCGTTGTGAAGAAATAAATCTTGTTCTCAATTGGGAGAAATGCCACGTTATGGTGGAAGAGGGCATAGTTCTTGGGCATAAAATTTCAAAGCATGGTATTGAGGTAGACAAATCAAAAATTGATATGATTTTAATGCTCCCTCCACCTACATCTGTCAAGGGAGTCCGAAGTTTTCTTGGGCATGCGAGGTTCTACCGGAGATTTATCAAAGACTTTTCGAAGGTAGTGAATCCCTTGTGCAAGTTGTTGGAAAAAAATGCTAAGTTCGTGTTTGACGAAAAATATATGCAAGCCTTTGAACTTCTCAAGCATAAGTTGAACACCACTACTATCATTACCGCACCTAATTAGAGCTTGCCCTTTGAGCTCATGTGTGAGGCGAGCAATGTTGCGATTGGGGCGGTTTTGGATCAAAGAGTGAATAAAATATTTCATCCGATGTACTATGCGAGCAAGACAATGAATGATGCTCAAGTGAACTACACGGTGACCGAGAAAGAACTTTTGGCTATTGTGTTCGCAATGGAAAAATACCGATCGTATCTTATGGGTGCTAAGGTTATTATTCATACCGACCATGCCGTACTCCGGTACTTGATGACGAAGAAGGATTCCAAAGCTAGACTGATGCGATGGGTCTTGTTACT